TTCGGGCGATTACTTGCTACGTATTCAATAAAACTGACCCGGGTCTTCCGGCTCTTGTGTCAGCACTTCACGAAGTTGACTTACATGCACATTGGTAAGTGAATTGACAAGAAAATCTTTGATGCGCTTGTTCTGACTGATTCTGAGATAGATCTGAGATAAACGTAAGTTCACTTGCCGATAATGACTAGCGCCACTTGGCACTCCTAAAAAATCACAAAAATTTTAAGTACATGTGAAATATCGACGAAACCGAGTGTGATTTTTCCCAGTTTTGTGATGATTCAGCTTGAGAAGGCGCTGTAGTCGTTATAAGTCATTGTAATCTAAATGGAATATTCGTGGAAGCTTTTTTGATACTGTGATTGAAACTCAAACACTCTAAAAGATGGCAAGTGAGCGACGGTTTTTAATCTTTTTCTAAATCATTCATTCGGCTCAGCTCTAGTGTGATATACCTTCCTTTTACGAGTATTTGAGTTCGAAGAAATCATACCAACTTGACGTTTCTCGATTCTGAAATCTCGTAAGCGTGCTGAAATGCCTTTCACTTTCTTCTGGTGACTAGCCACTTCTAGACGCACAGCATCCAGCAGTCTGCAACGGAACCACCATGAGATGTCGAACGTTATCGTTGAATTTCAGTAACAGTTGCAGCATGCAATTTATTTTAAAAATGTTGCCAGTGTATGCGTGATTTTTTGCGTTGCCTTAGTGAGTTAAAGCGCATTGCGGCCACATTCCTAACATGTTTACTTTTCAGCTATGATGCGTCACGTTATCTTCAAAACGCAACACCGTGTAAGTAAATGTAGTACATGCCTAGTGAGATCTTGGTCTTGACGCGGTCTGGTGGGGCTTTCAAGTTGAAGTACTATTTAAGGTTTTGGAGAAAATATGAACAAAAAATGAAAGAGTTGAAAAGAATTATTAAAGTTGGTAAGAAATGTTTCGGTCCATTAAGTCGTATACATTTCTTACCATTGCCACAGTTGGACCTGTGGCAATGGTAAGAAATGTACACGACTTAATGGACCGAAACATTTCTTACCAATAAGTTCTTCATGTTATTTGAAGTATGACTTAATTACAAAATGGAAAGAAATAGAGGAGCAGTGCAATATACACCGTCAGCAGTTCGCAAGGTTTTCACGCTAAGAAATATTGAATGACCAATTTGGACCATAATGCGGAGTATTGGCACTGAAATTAATGGGAGAACCGTTGAGGTGTTTAGTCGAAGTGGAAAGCAATTCTGAGAGCCCAGTGTTGAATATTCGAGAAAACGAGTACGAGACAAGTTGAACGAACGATCCGGTGCAAGAAAAAGAGGATCCCAACTGGAGGGAAGGGCCTTTATATAGTATAAGCTTTGAATCCGGGATTTGGGAGCATTGTCTGCAATCAAGTAAAGTCCAGAAGCGCAAAATCAACTTTCTTCCTCCTATTTCCTGACTCAAGAAACTTAAAAGGATTGCCCAAATAACTTGGTCCCATACCTTCGAAGCCGCGGTATGCACTAATGAATAACTACATATGACCAGGTTGCATATTCTATAATTTCATCTTAAAGGAGTTTTCTAACGGGATAATAAAGAAATCTCATATGTCGCATTAATGCACTACGAACCCACAACACCACGATGATCTCCTGATGCGTTTCGCTACTTAAATAAATTTATGGGTAATGATGTATGTTATCCCACAGGGTGTGACCGAACTAATCAATCACAACACTGGTAACACTTTCAGGTTTTTCTTCTAAGAATTTGTGGTAGTAAAAGAACAGAGGACTCTTCAACTTGTTACCCGATGAGCCCGTCGGAACAGTTAACAAGGCCGTGGCATCCGAGTGCTTCAAGACCATCTGCAAAACGGAGTTCAGCACATCGAGCTGCTTGGAGAACATGAGGGCAATCGATCTGGATGGCAATCAAGATAGAACGAACGTGCTTTTCCCAATCCTAAATTTGTGGAATTCAAGCTTAGATTCATACAAAACTTAATAGACAACTTTTGGAAG